TACAGTATCTAACGAGAAACTTATTTTCTCAAACCACATGACCTGTAATAAACGATTAGAAAAAGCTTAGGGCTGGCTTTTTATATCTTATAATTTCCTACTTGACATCTCAGAAACCCTCCTACCCCACATGGGTAGTGGGAGGATGATGGTAGGGTGGGGTTGGCATCGACCACTAACCCAGTCTAAGGGTAACCGTGGCCGGTGACACCTACGCTACTCTGAGACTTTTCTCCCTGCTTTGGTTGCTCCCTTGCAACATTGCACAGCACCTGATGATGCACTGAAAAGTGTGAAAATATCTGAGCTAAAGATTCCCCCCCCCCCCCGTGGCTTGGCCTGCATAGTTAAGATCGCCCGTCTGTGACTGTTTGCATATATATATAATATTATATATATATATATATATATATTATATATATATATATATATATATATATATATATTATATATATATATATATATATATATATATATATATGTCCATGGGGAAGTGGAAAAGAATCTTTCCTCTGTAAGCCATGCGTGTCATATGAGGCGACTAAAATGCCGGGAACAATGGGCTAGTAACCCCTTCTCCTGTACACATTTACTAAAAAAGAGAAGAATGAAAACCTTAAAAAACTGGGATGCTTGAATGCGTGTGGATGTAGTGTGGATGACAAGAAACATGATTGCTGATGTTATGAATGAAAAGAACTTGGATGTCCTGACCCTAAGTGAAACAAAGCTGAAGGGGGTAGGGGAGTTTTGGTGGGGGGAAATAAATGGGATTAAATCTGGAGTATCTGAGAGAGTTAGAGCTAAGGAAGGGATAGCAATAATGTTGAAGGATCAGTTATGGAAAGAGAAAAGAGAATATGAATGTGTAAATTCAAGATTATGTGGATTAAAGTAAAGGTTGGATGCGAAAAGTGGGTCATAATAAGCGTGTATGCACCTGGAGAAGAGAGGAATGTAGAGGAGAGAGAGAAATTTTGGGAGATGTTAAGTGAATGTATAGGAGCCTTTGAACCAAGTGAGAGAATAATTGTGGTAGGGGACCTGAATGCTAAAGTAGGAGAAACTTTTAGAGAGGGTGTGGTAGGTAAGTTTGGGGTGCCAGGTGTAAATGATAATGGGAGCCCTTTGATTGAACTTTGTATAGAAAGGGGTTTAGTTATAGGAATACATATTTTAAGAAAAGAGGATAAATAAGTATACAAGATATGATGTAGAGCGAAATGACAGCAGTTTGTTGGATCATGTATTGGTAGATAAAAGACTGTTGAGTAGACTTCAGGATGTACATGTTTATAGAGGGGCCACAGATATATCAGATCACTTTTAGTTGTAGCTACACTGAGAGTAAAAGGTAGATTGGATACAAGGAGAATAGAAGCATCAGGGAAGAGAGAGGTGAAGGTTTATAAACTAAAAGAGGAGGCAGTTAGGGTAAGATATAAACAGCTATTGGAGGATAGATGGGCTAATGAGAGCATAGGCAATGGGGTCGAAGAGGTATGGGGTAGGTTTAAAAATGTAGTGTTAGAGTGTTCAGCAGAAGTTTGTGGTTACAGGAAAGTGGGTGCAGGAGGGAAGAGGAGCGATTGGTGGAATGATAATGTTAAGAGAGTAGTAAGGGAGAAAAAGTTAGCATATGAGAAGTTTTTACAAAGTAGAAGTGATGCAAGGAGGGAAGAGTATATGGAGAAAAAGAGAGAAGTTAAGAGAGTGGTTAAGCAATGTAAAAAGAGAGCAAATGAGAGAGTGGGTGAGATGTTATCAACAAATTTTGTTGAAAATAAGAAAAAGTTTTGGAGTGAGATTAACAAGTTAAGGAAGCCTAGAGAACAAATGGATTTGTTAGTTATAAATAGGATAGGAGAGTTATTAAATGGAGAGTTAGAGGTATTGGGAAGATGGAGGGAATATTATGAGGAATTGTTAAATGTTGATGAAGATAGGGAAGCTGTGATTTCATGTATAGGGCAAGGAGGAATAACATCTTGTAGGAGTGAGGAAGAGCCAGTTGTGAGTGTGGGGGGAAGTTCGTGAGGCAGTAGGTAAAATCAAAGGGGGTAAGGCAGCTGGGATTGATGGGATAAAGATAGAAATGTTAAAAGCAGGTGGGGATATAGTTTTGGAGTGGTTGGTGCTATTATTTAATAAATGTATAGAAGAGGGTAAGGTACCTAGGAATTTGCAGAGAGCATGCACAGTTCCTTTGTATAAAGGCAAAGGGAACAAAAGAGAGTGCAAAAATTATAGGAGAATAAGTCTGTTGAGTATACCTGGTAAAGTGTATGGTAGAGTTATTATTGAAAGAATTAAGAGTAAGAGAGAGAATAGGATAGCAGATGAACAAGGAGGCTTTAGGAAAGGTAGGGGGGGGGTGTGGACCAGGTGTTTACAGTGAAACATTTAAGTGAACAGTATTTAGATAAGGCTAAAGAGGTTTTTGTGGCATTTATGGATTTGGAAAAGGCGTATGACAGAGTGGGTAGGGGGGCAATGTGGCAGATGTTGCAGGTGTATGGAATAGGAGGTAGGTTACTGAAAGCAGTGAAGAGTTTTTACGAGGATAGTGAGGCTCAAGTTAGAGTATGTAGGAAAGAGGGAGATTATTTCCCTGTAAAAGTAGGCCTTAGACAAGGATGTGTGATGTCACCATGGTTGTTTAATATATTTATAGATGGGGTTGTAAGAGAAGTAAATGCGAGGGTCTTGGCAAGAGGCGTGGAGTTAAAAGATAAAGAATCACACATAAAGTGGGAGTTGTCACAGTTGCTCTTTGCTGATGACACTGCTCTTGGGAGATTCTGAAGAGAAGTTGCAGAGGTTGGTGGATGAATTTGGTAGCGTATGTAAAAGAAGAAAATTAAAAGTGAATACAGGGAAGAGTAAGGTTATGAGGATAACAAAAAGATTAGGTGATGAAAGATTGGATATCAGATTGGAGGGAGAGAGTATGGAGGAGGTGAATGTATTCAGATATTTGAGAGTGGACGTGTCAGCGGGTGGGTCTGTGAAAGATGAGGTGAATCATAGAACTGATGAGGGGAAAAGGGTGAGCGGTGCACTTAGGAGTCTGTGGAGACAAAGAACTTTGTCCTTGGAGGCAAAGATCGGAATGTATGAAAGCATAGTTTTACCAACGCTCTTATATGGGTGTGAAGCATGGGTGATGAATGTTGCAGCGAGGAGAAGGCTGGAGGCAGTGGAGATGTCATGTCTGAGGGCAATGTGTGGTGTGAATATAATGCAGAGAATTCGTAGTTTGGAAGTTAGGAGGAGGTGCGGGATTGCCAAAACTGTTGTCCAGAGGGTTGAGGAAGGGTTGTTGAGGTGGTTCGGACATGTAGAGAGAATGGAACAAAACAGAATGACTTCAAGAGTGTATCAGTCTGTAGTGGAAGGAAGGCGTGGTAGGGGTCGGCCTAGGAAAGGTTGGAGGGAGGGGATAAAGGAGGTTTTGTGTGCGAGGGGCTTGGACTTCCAGCGGGCATACGTGAGCGTGTTTGATAGGAGTGAATGGAGACAAATGGTTTTTAATACTTGACGCAGACCGATTCGGGTACCATGGTCTTGTGTGCCGTAAATCCGAGGGAAAGATTGCAAGACAGTGCTGTTGGAGTGTGAAGCCCCTAGCACACAAAACCTCCGTTACCCCCTCCCTCCAACTTTTCGTAGGCCGACCTCTTCCCCACCTTCCCTCCACTACAGATTTATGCACTCTCGAAGTTATTCTATTTTGTTTCATCTCTACATGTCCAAACCACCTCAAAAACCTCTTCTAGGCCCTCTGGATAATAGTTTTGGTAATCCTGCATCTCCTCCTAATTTCCAAACTACGAATTCTCTGCATTATATTCACACCACACATTACCCTCAGACATGACATCTCCACTGCCTCCAGCCTTCTCCTTGTTGCAACATTCACCACCCATTTATAAGAACGTTTGTATAACTATACTCTCATACATTCCCCTCTTTGCTTCCATGGACAAAGTTCTTTTCTGCACAGACTTCTCAGTCAGTGGCCCCACTCACCTTTTTCCCCTCGTCAACTCTCTCTCTCTCTCTCTCTCTCTCTCTCTCTCTATATATATATATATATATATATATATATATATATATATATATATATATATATATATATATATATATATATATATATATATATTATATATATATATATATATATATATATATATATATATATATATTATATATATATATATATATATATATAATATATAGATATAAGATAGATAGATAGATAGATAGATAGATAGATAGATATAGGTAGATATAGATGTGTGTGTGTGTGTGGATTCAGATAAAACAAAATCTTGTATTTGACTTTTAGAGTTATTATTATAATCGTCAAAGTAACAGTACAGAAAATTATAAATAGTCATCTGCTCCCCGAGGTTCGGAAGAAACACTGCAAAACAAAAACTGACAGAAATATTTACATATACAGTAGACTAGCTGATTAAGGTCCAAAAGAAGGTTGTGTGTGAAGCAGCATTTGTGTAGTTTAAGAATAATTGTGATTAACAAAAACAATGGACACTTCGAACACAGTTCCACTCTTGTAACCACGAACATGTAACTACAACTAGGTAATTAACACGTGATCCATTCGAGTACTGGATACAGGAAGCACGATGCCTGCATTTTGAAGGAGTCGTGAGGATGAAACATTTGGAAATCTTTCTTGATTCCCAAATATTGTACTAGTGTCTAATTTTTCAACTTGTCGGTTTTCTGGTCCATTTACATTACGAGCCGTGAGGATGATGTCCGCACACTTCTGGCAAGGTAGTTATGAAAGAATGATAGTCAATGTGTTTTCTTTTTGTCTGGGTGGAGGAGAGGGAGATATCAGCCTACCTTGGTAGATGAAGGCCATTGAAGCAAAAAATATATATTTATAATAACACGTACTTTATCATTCTTTAAATAAATGCATGTCTGAATCTCGTGACGACGGATAACAATGCTTCACTCACTTATTAATGGAAGACTGGAGATTAGACATTGAATTGTAGCTGGTGAAGAGGAAGGTGAAAGCGATAGAGATAACGACTATGTTCTTCATGATCAAAAATTTCTCCTTTTTCTCCTCCGATGTGAGGTCCTTCCCAGAGGTCTTGCCAGCCTCCCCAGCTACCTCTTTCTTAACGCTGCCGTCTGTAGAAGAAAATTCTCTATTTAGACCGAAACATCGCCCAAATGAAGACTTGTTCTGCATACTCGTGTCTTTCTCCACATACCTATCAATGTTACTCCCCTCAGCCGAAACCTTAAGCCAGTTAGGTGGCATGAACGAAGAACATATAATGCAACACCATAATTGCCTTCGATTACTAACTCCTCTATCACCTCGCTGGAAACTTCCCTCGCATGTAACATCAAATTTTATGATTAGCAGCTTCATTATATGTGCATGGAAAATTTTGGCATCTTCGTTTTGGATCCAGAAGATATATATGGCCGAGAAGAGTGAAGAAAAGACGAACACACAGAACGAGCTATTACTGAGGCAGCGTTCCGCTCAGTTCTGTCAAAAATAGTTAACAGAACACCTGTCGGCAGAGCTTTACCAAACCATAATAAAATGCTACTCAGAGCGAAATGCTTTTGCAATAAAAAAATCTACAGCATGTCTTTTCTCTGGCTTCCTAAAAAAGTGAATTTTGTATGTGTCATTGACTTCAAAAATAGCAGTGTTGGGGCAGAGCTCCACCAGTGTACTGCAGAACTACGCACTAACCCATATACAATGTTGTTCCTGCATTGTCTGGTCCATATCAATGTTTACTAATCTGGACCACGTCTACGGCCACTCCTCTGACTTGCATGCAGTGCTCACCTCTAAAATGCGCCAAACCTTAGTGGCAACAGACTTACAGTATTATTATTATTATTATTATTATTATTATTATTATTATTATTATTATTATTATTATTATTATTATTATTATTATTATTATTGTTATTATGTTTATTGTTATTATGCACGAGAAACGCTAAACATTATGGATCATTTAGCAAGAATTAATTATGAGTCTGCAAACATAAAATAAAACAAATAGACCAGGGGCCACCGACCTTATCGTTCAAACTATCCACATTAAAGCTTTTTTTAAATATAAAATCGACAAAGTGAAACGCAAATGTAAATATTACCACCTGACACTTAAGCGAAAAACAAAGGGATAATGAGCCACATTGCACCGCCGGTGTGTACACTACTCTGTGTAGTCATTGCGACAAGTACGTAGGAGAAACACGGAAGAAGTTTGCCCTCTAGCATCTACAAAACCAAATATGCTTTCAACAAGGATGACCTGAATAACGCGTGCGTTGTTCACGGGAACAGAGGGAGACGTTATAAATTGGGCCGACGTATAGATAATTATTATTAAGCCAAATATCAGTAGACGCCATTACTTGCAAGCCTCTTTGAATGCTTTAACAAACACAGCTAAGCAAAAAGGGATGTTACAGTGTTGTCACCAAGGAGGCACACAATCATGGAACATAATACGTCACCCTGCTCACCACCAGATATGGCCGTCAGGTGATATGTCACTGAACATGTTGGTTTAGAAAGACACGTAAGCAAACACTATAACATATTTATTAGAAAACGTTTCGGTCCTGGGACCTTGATCACTTCTAACATACAGAGGTAGAAAGACATTATATATATAGGCGGAGAGTGAGATGTGACGCACGTGACCTGAGGAATGTCATAAGAACATAAGAAAAAAATTTCAAAAACATTGGCATACATGATACTTAAGCAGCACCAACCCAACAACACAGGAGTCACGTGATTTCATCGTCTACCCTTCCTCATCATAGGTAGAGGTTGTTTTGATAAGGACCTGCCTCGCATGGGCCAGTAGGCCTTCTACAGTGTTCCTCCATTCTTATGTTCTTATGACATTCCTCAGGTCACGTGCGTCACATCTCACTCTCCGCCTATATATATAATGTCTTTCTACCTCTGTATGTTAGAAGTGATCAAGGTCCCAGGACCGAAACGTTTTCTAATAAATATGTTATAGTGTTTGCTTACGTGTCTTTCTGAACCAACTTGTCGGTATTTATTACCAAAGTTTATACCGTCACTGAACATAAACCTCACTGCCACTCTGAGGTACTCCTAATCATATAAGAATTTGTTTCTTGCTCTTATTTACATAAGGAAAGGACCATGGTCCTGGGACAAAATCATTTATTATAAAAAAAGCCCTAGTGTTTGCATTTTTTTTTCTTCTTTTTTTGCCGTTTTACTACTTGGTATCACATGTTGTTATTGCCTGCTCGAAATTTTACGAATAATTATGGATTTTCTTACTGTGTTGGTCATCCTCCTCACCACTGAAGGCTGGGTTATCCACCCCTGGCCTCTCATTCTTGGCCATCCCGCACGCTTCCATCTGCAATAAACAACTCTTTTAGAAAATGAATTGTTTGGTGACCTGAATTAATTCACTTCTAATGAGCAGACGAGATGCGGCCCATGAGCGGAGACCCCAAACCCCAAACCCCAAACCCCTGTTTTCTTACTTTAGTTCAGTGCCCTTCCTAATGTACAATATACTGCCCTCCTTTTCCTATTAGAATGTTGTTATTCAACTTCAGCTCATTACTAAATCCAGCCCTATCATAGACATATTACAACCACTAGGAAGTTGTTATCCTACTTCAGCTCTTTTTAAAGCCCATTCGAAATATAAGTATGCTACCATCAAGCCAACGATTACAATAAGTTCAGAAGCTGTGAGAGCATTCAAGTTCTCGTAGCCACTGTTCCCATAGTGGATTACTTGACGATTTCCTCATCGTCCCACTAAAATATCCTAGCTATGACCAACACATTCACTTCATAAATATGAAAACCCATTCTATGTGATAGACTGTCACTTAAATTTAAACACAGCTAGCGTTAGTTTCCATGATGTGATTATGATACAGAATATAGTTGTCACACACTGAGACTATGTTCAATGCATAAATGACAGTTAACTGAACGCCAGGAATACATTTGCTGCTAGAAGGGGTAATAAGATTTGTCCACACGTTGCGTCTAGCCTAGAATCGATTCTAGGTCCTTTCCGCTGTGAGTCGAACTTTTTTGCCACCTGAGCTTCTGTTCATATATGTCGTACCTGAGAGCCAGAAGGCTGGTCCAGCCTTCTGGCTGGACCATATCTCGAGATATGTCTCGAGGCGAGACATATCTCGTCTCACCTCAATTAGTTCTATTATTTTTTATTATCTTCCTAGGTAATCATTGAACCCATGGAGGTTATGCAGTGCCTGAAGATTGGTAGGCAAATAGTGTGATCAAAGTAAGAGGAGGGTAGTTACATTTCCTTGTGTCAAGAGCCCATCGCCGGCCTTGAGGTACTTTCCTTCTCCCATGAAGGAATCACATGACGTCATCACTCAAGACTGTTTAGAATGCGTCTTATACCTAAAGACTACAAAGAAATATTTTTAATTGATTTGCTGAATTTTAACGGAAGACAAGGCTTTGGCTTCCCTAATAGGTGGTAGTGTACTAATTTTACCGACTCTGTTGCTACGTATGCTGTAGAGGGTGATGTAAATAACTAGTTGTAAATGGTATGATGTTACAGTTAAACTGTGAAAAAAAGGCACCTGTGTCCAGTGGTAACGTTTCATCACTGATGAAACCACTGGTGGCGAGACCTTTCTTTTATCAAAATTAATGTCATGAAATGTACAGAAGTGCCCTTTTCCACACAATATAAATAACTGAAGACCGTAGTCACTGTAAACTACAGCCACAGCAGACTGCATCACTATAGAATAGTCACTGTAGCACACTGTCACTGTAGCTCAATAACTGTGAACTGGCATTACTGGGAGGAGATTAAAACTAATCCTGTAGCTTACCGTCCCCTGAATGCTGCCTGGGCTAAGGAAAACATGGCTGGTGGTCCCAGTAGCTGCCAAGCGTTATGTGCCTTGTAGGTGTGGCAGTCTAAGGCAATAGTGGTCTAACTTGCTTCTCTCCAGTCTGGCGAGAGTCCTGGGTTTGATCCCTGGCTGGTCGAAGTATGTTCTTTGTTTTTCTATATTTGGGAGAACTTTGAAAAAAAACTAGATACCGTCTCAATAAAGTCTGCCCAATGCCAGTTGTAGATCATAGTCACGGTTGATAACAGTTAATGTAGATAATAATCACTAGATGGAAGTCACTGCCAACTAAAGGCACCATAGATTAGTCATTGTAGACAACCTATACTTACTACAGTCACTGCAGATCCGAGCCTCCGAAGACCATAATCTCTGCAGACCTCAAACACTACAAACCAGACAATACACAAATAACCCGCACATAAAAGAGAGAAGCTAACGACGACGTTTCGGTCCGACTTGGACCATTGACTTTGTCAATGGTCCAAGTCGGACCGAAACGTCGTCGTTAGCTTCTCTCTTTATGTGCGGGTTATTTGTGTATTGTTCCAGTCACGGTATTGTGCCTTTTTGTTTAACTACAAACCAGACACTGCAGACTAGTCACTGTAGGCCTCAGTCACTGCAAACCAGTCACTGCACATCACATTCGATTCCAATACTATGCCACTATTCTTTCAACATATACGCAATACAATACTGTCCTTGAGCAGACTATGCAATAACACTGACGAGATAAACTTTAGGAACTCAAGCTTCCGGCCCACTGGACATGGACGTAATCAAATTTTCAATATCTTAAATCTGGATACCAAACCTATTCCCGGTAAGCCTCGTGTCTAAGAGTTTTGTCCGGTTTCCTGAAGAACAAATCACTACCAGACACATAAACACAATGTGAAAGATTCCATAAGCTACTGGATCCTATTATGGAGATGACATATGAGGGGCTTGTGGAAGAGCACCCGAGCATCACCCTCACGGACTGCTATCCAAGAGAGGACTGAGGCCTCACCTGTGACCGATGTGGAGTGAAAGTAATTGAGGAGAGAAGCGCTTGTTGCCAGAGTTGCAAGCCGGGTTATCATGGTATGGCTGGAAAACAGTGTTGACAAAGAGGGATATTTCGAAAGGTACTTTGAGCAGAGCAAACAGTTATGATGTTTCGCTCAAGAAGAGTATCAAAGAGAGTTTGAAATTGCGAAACTGTCTAATAAATGCTTCCTCTTCTCTGTCTTTGTACAACCTATGTCCAATGTATTGTTAGCTTTACAATACGTGTTGATATGTTGTGAGAATTATCTACCACCAACAAGTTAAAATGCTTTTACTTTTAAGAAAAATACTTTCTCTGGTTAGAGCTATAGCAAATAAGTCAATACAAACAAAACAAGGAAAGGATATGATTGAGCGATGAAGGAAAAAGAATAGTTATATTTTTATTTAAACTTTACCATATATAATAATTTCTAATACAAATTATCAATTGATAGTCTTAAGATCTCAAATATAAGCTTCTCATATCATGTTAAGCCAAGTGGAAACTTGGATTTAATGAAGTATGTGTGCTTAATAATTTTTTGTTGGTCATCAAACAAGTAAAATGTATCCATTCCAGCTTTGTCCAATGTGACTTAAAAATAAGTATTCAGAAATGTGGAACACAAAGATTCATAGGCTTCAGTTTCTAATGCCTCATTGTCGGCAGTATTGATGCAGCTGGACCGAAACCAGGCAATTGCATATTTATTTTATATCATTAAGTATCTTTGGTTGTTCGGCAACCCAATTCTATACGAGTTACATGGTTGTAACGGAGGCGAACTATATTTTCCGGTGAAATGTCATCACGCAAGATGACTTGTTTGATCAGAAAAACGATGAGAATATCGTTAAGCATTCCACTGAAAGTTAACTAGCTATACAAATTTTAATGGCCTCGTTCCAGCAGGACTTGATGCGCTCTTATGATGGCCAACCACTCAAAGTAAGAACTGATTATTATTAGTGCAATAGTTATTGCACCGCATGAAATATCTCTTATTTTGTTTACCATTTCGTTACCACTATTACCACTGCCAGATGACTGTGAAACAGAAACCTGTAACTGTTTGCATGATGGTAGGATTGCTGGTTTCTTTTTCTGTCTCATAAACACGCTAGATAACAGGGATATCTTGCTACTCCTACTTACACTTTGGTCACACTTCACAGACACGCACATGCATATATATATACATACATCTAGGTTTTTCTCCTTTTTCTAAATAGCTCTTGTTCTTCTTTATTTATTCTATTGTCCATGGGGAAGTGGAAAAGAATCTTTCCTCCATAAGCCATGCGTGTCGTATGAGGCGACTAAAATGCCGGGAGCAATGGGCTAGTAACCCCTTCTCCTGTAGACACTTACTAAAAAAGAGAAGAAAAACTTTATAAAACTGGGATGCTTAAATGTGCGTGGATGTAGTGCAGATGACAAGAAACAGATGATTGCTGATGTTATGAATGAAAAGAAGTTGGATGTCCTGGCCCTAAGCGAAACAAAGCTGAAGGGGGTAGGAGAGTTTCAGTGGGGGGAAATAAATGGGATTAAATCTGGAGTATCTGAGAGAGTTAGAGCAAAGGAAGGGGTAGCAGTAATGTTAAATGATCAGTTATGGAAGGAGAAAAGAGAATATGAATGTGTAAATTCAAGAATTATGTGGATTAAAGTAAAGGTTGGATGCGAGAAGTGGGTCATAATAAGCGTGTATGCACCTGGAGAAGAGAGGAATGCAGAGGAGAGAGAGAGATTTTGGGAGATGTTAAGTGAATGTATAGGAGCCTTTGAACCAAGTGAGAGAGTAATTGTGGTAGGGGACCTGAATGCTAAAGTAGGAGAAACTTTTAGAGAGGGTGTGGTAGGTAAGTTTGGGGTGCCAGGTGTAAATGATAATGGGAGCCCTTTGATTGAACTTTGTATAGAAAGGGGTTTAGTTATAGGTAATACATTTTAAGAAAAAGAGGATAAATAAGTATACAAGATATGATGTAGGGCGAAATGACAGTAGTTTGTTGGATTATGTATTGGTAGATAAAAGACTGTTGAGTAGACTTCAGGATGTACATGTTTATAGAGGGGCCACAGATATATCAGATCACTTTCTAGTTGTAGCTACACTGAGAGTAAAAGGTAGATGGGATACAAGGAGAATAGAAGCATCAGGGAAGAGAGAGGTGAAGGTTTATAAACTAAAAGAGGAGGCAGTTAGGGAAAGATATAAACAGCTATTGGAGGATAGATGGGCTAATGAGAGCATAGGCAATGGGGTCGAAGAGGTATGGGGTAGGTTTAAAAATGTAGTGTTAGAGTGTTCAGCAGAAGTTTGTGGTTACAGGAAAGTGGGTGCGGGAGGGAAGAGGAGCGATTGGTGGAATGATGATGTAAAGAGAGTAGTAAGGGAGAAAAAGTTAGCATATGAGAAGTTTTTACAAAGTAGAAGTGATGCAAGGAGGGAAGAGTATATGGAGAAAAAGAGAGAGGTTAAGAGAGTGGTGAAGCAATGTAAAAAGAGAGCAAATGAGAGAGTGGGTGAGATGTTATCAACAAATTTTGTTGAAAATAAGAAAAAGTTTTGGAGTGAGATTAACAAGTTAAGAAAGCCTAGAGAACAAATGGATTTGTCAGTTAAAAATAGGAGAGGAGAGTTATTAAATGAGTTAGAGGTATTGGGAAGATGGAGAGAATATTTTGAGGAATTGTTAAATGTTGATGAAGATAGGGAAGCTGTGATTTCGTGTATAGGACAAGGAGGAATAACATCTTGTAGGAGTGAGGAAGAGCCAGTTGTGAGTGTGGGGGAAGTTCGTGAGGCAGTATGTAAAATGAAAGGGGGTAAGGCAGCCGGGATTGATGGGATAAAGGTAGAAATGTTAAAAGCAGGTGGGGATATAGTTTTGGAGTGGTTGGTGCAATTATTTAATAAATGTATGGAAGAGGGTAAGGTACCTAGGGATTGGCAGAGAGCATGCATAGTTCCTTTGTATAAAGGCAAAGGGGATAAAAGAGAGTGCAAAAATTATAGAGGGATAAGTCTGCTGAGTATACCTGGTAAAGTGTATGGTAGAGTTATTATTGAAAGAATTAAGAGTAAGACGGAGAATAGGATAGCAGATGAACAAGGAGGCTTTAGGAAAGGTAGGGGGTGTGTGGACCAGGTATTTACAGTGAAACATATAAGTGAACAGTATTTAGATAAGGCTAAAGAGGTCTTTGTGGCATTTATGGATTTGGAAAAGGCGTATAACAGGGTGGATAGGGGGGCAATGTGGCAGATGTTGCAAGTGTATGGTGTAGGAGGTAGGTTACTGAAAGCAGTGAAGAGTTTTTACGAGGATAGTGAGGCTCAAGTTAGAGTATGTAGGAAAGAGGGAAATTATTTCCCAGTAAAAGTAGGCCTTAGACAAGGATGTGTGATGTCACCGTGGTTGTTTAATATATTTATAGATGGGGTTGTAAGAGAAGTAAATGCGAGGGTCTTGACAAGAGGCGTGGAGTTAAAAGATAAAGAATCACACACAAAGTGGGAGTTGTCACAGCTGCTCTTTGCTGATGACACTGTGCTCTTGGGAGGTTCTGAAGAGAAGCTGCAGAGATTGGTAGATGAATTTGGTAGGGTGTGCAAAAGAAGAAAATTAAAGGTGAATACAGGAAAGAGTAAGGTTATGAGGATAACAAAAAGATTAGGTGATGAAAGATTGAATATCAGATTGGAGGGAGAGTGTATGGAGGAGGTGAATGTATTCAGATATTTGGGAGTGGACGTGTCAGCGGATGGTCTATGAAAGATGAGGTGAATCATAGAATTGATGAGGGAAAAAGAGTGAGTTGTGCACTTAGGAGTCTGTGGAGACAAAGAACTTTGTCCTTGGAGGCAAAGAGGGGAATGTATGAGAGTATAGTTTTACCAACGCTCTTATATGGGTGTGAAGCATGGGTGATGAATGTTGCAGCGAGGAGAAGGCTGGAGGCAGTGGAGATGTCATGTCTGAGGGCAATGTGTGGTGTGAATATTATGCAGAGAATTCGTAGTTTGGAAGTTAGGAGGAGGTGCGGGATTACCAAAACTGTTGTCCAGAGGGCTAAGGAAGGGTTGTTGAGGTGGTTCGGACATGTAGAGAGAATGGAGCGAAACAGAATGACTTCAAGAGTGTATCAGTCTGTAGTGGAAGGAAGGCGGGGTAGGGGTCGGCCTAGGAAAGGTTGGAGAGAGGGGGTAAAGGAGGTTTTGTGTGCGAGGGGCTTGGACTTCCAGCAGGTATGCGTGAGCGTGTTTGATAGGAGTGAATGGAGACAAATGGTTTTTAATACTTGACGTGCTGTTGGAGTGTGAGCAAAGTAACATTTATGAAGGGGTTCAGGGAAACCGGCAGGCCGGACTTGAGTCCTGGAGATGGGAAGTACAGTGCCTGCACTCTGAAGGAG